TCTGGGAGTTGAAGTCCACTCATCTTAAAGTGGCCAAGTTTGGACAACACTGCTTTATGGAAAAGATGGTTGTCAAGCATCATGCCCTCAGGCCAATAACAATCAATGAAATGAATAAGATATAGAGAACACATTGCTTGCCTTAAAAGGGAGTCGCCGGAGGGGTATGTACTGTATATGTCTATTTTTACACCTTGTTTATATTTCCTAATTTGGGTATTTTTATCTCCCAGAGAAAAACTTTAATATCTTGTCTGATTTTTGCTCCTAATTCTAGCCACTAGGAGCTCAGACACCAAAGGTGTTTTTTTTAACAACTATTGCCTTCATACTAACTGTAGTAGCATTGCATTACTGACTCATGATCCCTACATTACATTCTGTCAATAACTGTCTAAGTAGTGTTGTTCAATTGCCAAACGGTTCCTTGAAACCCAACTTCAACGCAGACGAATAAATGATCACAAAATAAGCTAAAGCCTGCAGGCTCTCTTAATACTCATAATATATTCTTGCCTCAAAATTGAGTTTTCTGTTTGCAGAATCTAGATTTACTTTGCTGCTGAAAACTAATACACAGTTTTCATTAGATTCCATCTAAGAATGGATTTCAACACACTGTTAACAATCTGTTCACATGGCAGTAAGCTCATTCATTAGAAGTCTTCTTCCCTTTGAGAACTACGGTCCTTAGATAAGAAAAGATTGTAATAAAAACTTGCACTCTATCATACATAGCAGGTCAAAAACGTTCCAGAATTACTCAGTTGATTTCCACCAACAATATGTCATTCTACAAACATTCCAATTTGACGAAAGGGACTAAGTGGTTCTACAACACCAATTTTTAGGTTGTCTAAATCTCGGCTCAGCAATGAACTGCTCTGCTCCTCTGTGATGTCACAACTGCATGTGTGACAGCTGATGACACCACAACCTCTGCAGGTTCCTGTTGCGACATCAGATAGCACCAGCCATTTACCACTACATATAGACTGAAAATTGTTCATACATGTATTATCGCAAATATATCAACTCACTTCTACGTGCATGTGTGTGTGTACGTATGTATAGATAGATAGATACTCATACACACATTCATATATAAACACATCCCTTGACAATCATCCTGGAAAAGAGCTTGCTTTTCCTCTTACTTACTTGAATTACTTACAAAGACAAATATATTAGCTAATCAGACAGTCAAACTTCTAGCACTTACTTTTCATAGTCGTGCTTACAGTAGAGCTGCCTGTTGCGACAATAGCATGTGCCCGAGAGAGGCTGGAGGCAAGCAGCGCATTTCACACAGCCTTCGTGCCAGGAGCGCTCATTCACCCGCAGCAGGAAGCGATCTGAGATTGGGGTGTTGCAACCAGCACAAACCTCCCGCATTTTCGACTCTGAGCCTTGTGGGAGAAAAGAATGATCATTGTTGACAATCTCACCTGACTTATATATGAGCAAAAACATTCCACAAAGTTCAAGGTAAAAGTCTGGGGCATAGAACAGGGGTAGGGAACCTGTAGCCCCCCAGATCTTGTAGAACATATCCAACAGCAGGATTGGATATTGTAGTTCAGCAATATCTGAAGGGGGCAGTTTCCTACCTTTGAACTGGGAATTTTACCTTGGTTACAATGTGATCCTATGCTTGTCTCCTAAGAACGATGTGCCACTGAAATTTATGGGACTTACTTTTAGATAACTATGTACAGGATTGCGACCAGGTGCCATCTAGCAAACATTCCTGAAGGAACAGGTCCTAAGAGCTCATCCATATTCTGCAAGTAAGTTATGTCTAATTGCAAGTAAATTGCATAATTCTATTGTATTTGCACAGTATGGATTAGACTTTTAAAACTTTTTATAATTTGATCTTGTAAAATATGAACTTCTGATTCAACCATATATGTGCATTTACTATTAAGTTTAATTTGTCTTTATTGCAAATACTTTTCAGGTAAGGTATAAGTAAAATCTCTTTCCAATGAGCTTGATTCCTGGCGATGTCATGGACAGATGAATGAAACCAAGGACTTGACCGCATACCCAGTCTGAGAATCTGGCGATTGCAGTGGACATAAATTTGATAAATAAAGAAGTAAAATCCACAAGGATTCTATTACATGACCAAACCCTATTTTTCAAAAAAGAGGTTTCTCTTACTAACTCTAAACAATCCCCAAGTCAAGCATCTATAACTGTCAACGTCCCAAAATAATGAATTCCAACAATCTAAATCCAGATGCTTCACAAACCTTGAAACTCAGAAGATATGATTATCCTTACCCTGCCTTCTTTCTAACTCTATTGTTGCTCTAAGAACTACTGCTACTCATCTTCTCATAGCTTTCCATCTATCTAGCTCAGCTTCCCTAGATGCTCAGCTTTCTTCACTTCAGTGCTCTCCAGATGTGCTAGATTTCACATGTCATGCTCTGTCTGACAAGGCTGGGGTTGAAGTCCAACATCTGGAGGATATCAGTGTGGGGAAAGCTAATCTAGTCAGTTCCCAAAATTTACAGGTGGCAAAGCACCTCCACTGACAATCTTTCCATTTCTGGTATTTTGACATAAGCAGGATGGACTCATTTCAAATTGTGTGTGTGTAATAATCTGGCACCATCTGATTAGGGTTATCAGGGCATTGACCTATGTCAGCCCTTCAGCGGCTTCTCAGCAGGGGCTGCAAAGACGAAGCAGTACACGTGGGTAAAAAACACCCCATCCAGCACCGAAGATTTGGTTCAGGAGGGAAGTAAACAGGCATAAAACTTTTGTCAAGTGGATTTCATTCTTCAGTCAAGGCTGAGTTTGCTGGATTATGTTAGGCACGTGTCATTTGCTTTTGGCCTTCCCTGCTGTTATTTTTCATTTTTAAACATTTCATTTTGCAGGCTCGATTTATTATGTACATCCCTGCCCAGCGGCTTAGACTGAAGCTGCATGGCCACGTTGGATATTATGCTTTGCGGGTTTAAGAAGATGTGCCAGCTGATTTGTGTTCTTGCTTGCTGCTGCTTTTTAGCATGCAAAAAGAAAACCCGTGCATCTCCTTTCCAGGGCAATGGCTCCTGATTGCAGGTGAAGATTTGAGGCAAATGCCTGGCTGGTGTCACATGACTAAAGAAATCTAGGTTAAGTGCTTGAACGGTCAGTGGCTTCGTTGGTCGACAGACACTTCATCCACTGGCTTTCCTCATTCAACTGAGCTTATTAACAGAGCGCAAAGGAAAAACGCATGGACAATTAGAGGCAACTAACAAAGAGATCACAAAACTCAGAGTTACAGCAGAGCCATTAAATGACTGTGGAACTTAAGGTAGTCACTGCTAACTCATCCTTTGATTAAACCAAAAGAAAGTGATATGCCCTGTAGGCAGAAAACATATTTATCTGCATTTATCTAAATCCAGAAAGATTTCTGGGCAAAAGAGAACTTAAAAAAAGATGGGCATCATTGTTCCAAGGGCAAAAAGCAGATTTTGATTTTAAGATGGGCACCGAGTGAGGCTAGGCATCGTCTTAGAAAAGGAATTTTCCACTTTGAGACAGGAAACTGGGGATGCCTCTTAAGATGGGGCTTGCCACATGGGGTTTTGATAGAGGGCATATGCTAAACAGAACGGGCTGACAAGCTTGAAATGTGTTCTAAAAATCTGTAGCTGAGCCTCGTCAAGCACCTATAGATCTTTTTTTTTTTTGGATGTTCAGCACTCCCATAGTACACAGAACAAACTGTTAGATCAGATTCAAATAATAAATCAGAATACAGACTTAAAGCTGAGAAGAACGGAACTAAACCTTTAGATTCTACAAAATGTAAATGTCTTAACAAAGAAATAGAACCAGTCTGAGAATTCTTACACAGGGGGCAACCACAAGAAAAGCTGTCTTCTTCATTTGCACCTTGATTACATATCTCATTGTGTGATGAGACCCACAACAAAGTCCTAAAAGAATACTGTAATCCATGGGCAAGTTATTTTGGAAGAAATCTTTGTTCTCTTATCCCAAGCCAAGCTTATTCTGCTTTATCCTCCCATTTTTAACTTACTTACTTCAGAACTATTTCATCGTTTTGTAAAATGCGTTCAGATTGTCCAACAGGATGACAAGTACAGAAATATTTCTCATAACTAAATAACATACTTCAAGGCTTTTATCGTTAAGCACCCGCAGCTTCAGTTTGGCTAGAAACAAATGAGAAGCCGCTGATAATGGAATCTCGCCGGTAAATTGCAACCAGGACAGCCATCTGCCCGTACCAACTGTAGTTTCTGAGCACATTTCAAGGATGCTCTCTTGAGTCTAAAATAAGATTAAAAATAGATGAAACTATTTTTTAAAAAAAATAGGTAAAGATTCTGTTCGAATGAATATATGATTGCAAAAATCCACAAGCAATATCCATTAGGATTGTAACAAGACTGGTGGCTTCTACCAGAATGCTACTGAGGGCAAGGATGAGAAGCCGGGTCCTTGTTTTCCATGCAAGTGGCTGCTTACAGAACTGGGCTGCTGGCTCTTCTTACGTTCCCTGCTTGAACTTAGTTTTAGCTAGATGTAGAGCAACACCTGGTGTTATATATGAGCAGCAAATTATTTCGTATACTGTTATCTTTACCCCACTACATCCAGAGATAGGTGCTTCAGGAGATTTCTGCCTCAGGGACAGAAAGAATTTGGCCAGATTGGGTAGGATGGCTCACACCCTTTTTCGTTTGTGTGTTTAAATTTAACTCAGGCGACATAATTCTCTCCAGCCATGCCTGAAAATCCCATTGAGAAGGGAGATAAACTAGATTTGTAGTAGAGGTTGGTCAAGATTTGGCAGCACCTTCTCCGGACTGTGCGTGACCTGAAATATCAAAGCAGCCCTGGATCACCTCTACCAGTTCACTCCTAGAAAGTGTTGCTGACTCCTTGGTGTTGCAAATGTGTACCACAACATTAGTGTGCAATGAAAACTAAACCCTAGCAAGATGGAGTAGCTCTGAGTTTTTTGGTTCTCCCTGGTTTGGGTGAGATATCATCTTTGTCTTTTGGCAAGGTTGCATTCCCCTGGGCAGAGCTGGTGAGCAATTCACACAGATTCATCTAGTGCTCCAGTTGCAGCCATTCCTGGACTGGGAAGCCATGCTCACGGTTACTCACATCCTGGTCACTTCCTGGTTGGATTCCTGCAATGCACTGTACATAAGACTGCCCTTGAAGACCATCTAAAAATTGGTGGCACCCACAGTTTGGGGTACCTTGTGGTTCACCCATGTTACGCCGCTGCTGAGTGAGCTGCACGGGCTTCCAGTTTCTTTCCAGGTGTGATCCAAGGCGCTGGTTATCACCTTTAAAGCCATCAGTGGCACAGGACCAGGTTATTTGCGGGACTGCCTCTCCCTGAGGGTATCTGCCTGTTCCATTAGAGCTGACAGGGTGGATGCACTCCAGGCTCTTTGTTGCATCTAGCAGGACCTAGGCAGCACACCTTCTTGGTGGCAGCCCCTGCCCTTTGGAACACCCTCCCCCCTGAGAACTGGCAGACCCCTGTCCTCCTGTCCTTCTGAAAAACCTTGAAAACCTGGCATTTCCCACAAGCCTTGAGATAGTGTGAGGCTGGAGCCCAGTGAAGCCCTAAAGTCCCCCCCCCCCCCCCCCCGGATGTCTGGGGATGTGTTGTGTTTGGAGGCAGTGGGAGGTTCTTTGTTGGCTTTTCTGTTTTTTACTGTTTGTACTGTTTTATTATTGCTTGTGAGCTGCCCAGGGTTATGTTGTATAACATGGGCTGCTATGGAAATCTTTTAAATCTCTATCTATCTTGGGATGTCCTCCTTATTCAGCTCATCGTTCTAGCAGTGGCATGTTTCCAAAAACCTAAATTTGTGAACCCTACAGAATAACAAAAATATATACGATACACAAAAAGAAAGGGTAGGAATTGTGATTATATTGAATAGATGTCAGTTAGAACTACAGAAATGCTCTGGCGAGGACAACAGCTGTTCTCTGTTGACTATAGATATTTTAAAAATAATAATTGTTTAGGATAGCTTCTACTTTGTATAGTCAGATGTCCTGGCGATTAATTCACACTTATTCTACTACTCTTTTAAAATGGCTTTCAAGCATAAACCCCCCCCTCCAAATTCCAAGAAAAGTTTCCAGATTTTACAAAGCCACTCGATCAAAAACAAAAACCTTCTCTCTGGCCTCAGATAATTATATGGCTCAGCCATATCGGTAGTGCGAAAGATGGATGGATGGATAATTCCTGAAGCCAATTAATACATGTAGCTATCATTAGTACACAAAATGGCTTTCAGTTAAGCTACTTTTGTAGATAGCTGCATTAGGAAATGTAGCTGGGGCACTCTTATTCTTTTTTTTGAGTTTTG